AGAGCAAGATTCATCGAAAGAGAGACAGAGAGAAAGAGAGAAAGAAAGAAAGTTTTGAGACGGAGTTTCGCCCTTGTTACCCAGGCTGGAGTGCAATGGCACGATCTCGGCTCACCGCAACCTCCTTCTCCTGGCTCAGGCAATTCTCCTGCCTCAGCCTCCTGAGTAGCTGGGATTACAGGCACGTGCCACCATGCCCAGCTAATTTTTGCACTTTTAGTAGAGACGGGGTTTCACCATGTTGACCAGGATGGTCTCGATCTCTCGACCTCGTGATCCACCCGCCTCGGCCTCCAAAGTGCTGGGATTACAGGCTTGAGCCACTGCACCCGGCAGAAAGTTAGTTTTATTTGAATTACAAGCAGGGAGCATCATATACCTTAGTGTTTAGGGCCTCTCAGGTCAGCCAGCCCTGAGAAAATCAGCCATGGCGAGGCCCTTCGCCCCCAGCCTCCAGTCCCGAGCCCCAAGGAGACAGGCCCCCTGGTCAGAGTCCCAGGGCAGGGCAGAGGCCTAGGGACAAGAATTAGAAAGGACCCAAGTCTGACGGGGCTGCTCAGGGTCATTTTGCCCATGCCTTTGCCACAGTGGCATGGACAAACCGCGTTATGTTGCTTAGAGGAGGGCACCTGTCTCTCTTGCAAGCGTTGACAAGGTCTTAACTATTAATATTCCGCTCTCATGGCAGCCCCTTTGGACAAGGAGGCTCTCAATCTCTGTTCTTTGAAGCCCTGAGGACTGGTGTATAGGAGTTAGAAGCATCGGCTTTGGGCCTGGCGTGGTGGCTCAAGCCTATAATCCCAGCACTTTGGGAGGCCGAGGCGGGTGGATCAGGAGGTCAGGAGATCGAGACCATCCTGGTCAACATGGTGAAACCCCATCTCTACTAAAAATATAAAACATTAGCTGGGCATGGTGGCGTGTGCCTGTAATCCCAGCTACTCAGGAGGCTGAGGCAGGAGAATTGCCTGAACCCAGGAGGCGGAGGTTGCGGTGAGCCGAGATCGCGCCATTGCCCTCCAGCCTGGGTAACAAGAGCGAAACTCCGTCTCAAAAAAAAAAAAAAAAAAAAAAGAAGCGTCGGCTTTGGAACCGGACTGCCTGGGTTTGAATCCTAGCACTGCAGCTGACTCACTGATGGACTCAGGCAATGCCTTGAACTCCCTGGGCTTCAGGTTCCTTGTCTGTCAAATGAGGAGAAAGAGAGCCCCTGTTTCGTAGGGCTGTGGTGAGAAACCAATCAGACGAGGCACGTGAACGCCATTATAGCACAGCAGTATCCAGAAGGACTCACTCGATGACAGCTGTCACCGCCATCATTGTTATTAGTGTGGGCCAGGGAGGACCGTGTCAAAGCGGCAGGTGGAGGAGGAAGAGGTGCCATGTGACCGTGTAGGTTCACATGCGTGAAGTATGATCTGGGCCTTTAGTGTGCAAGCACATATGTGTCCTTACTGCATGTGGTGTCACATACGTGCAGGGTCATGCTCCTGAGCCTTTGATTGCAGACGTGTGGGAAGTGGGCCCCGTCCCCACCCCCAGTGCCACCATGCTCTGCTTCTCTTCCCTTGCTCTACTCTAAAACGAGAAGTACAAGTGAGTTCCCCCAAGGGGTCGGCCGCGCCTCTTCCTGTCCCCGCCCTGCTGGCTGCCCTAGGCCAGTGGAGTGGCAGCTCCAGAACGGGGACCACCGGGGCCGGTGAGGCAGCTTGGCACTGGGAGCCAGGCCTGAGGCTTAGTCCACGAGTTCTCTGCCTGCCCAGACTAGCTGCACCACCTCATTCCCTGCGCCCCCTCCCTCTCCGGAAGCCCCCAGGATGGTGAGGTAAGGGCCTGCCACCCTCAGTAGGCAGGAGGCAAGGGTGCCCGGTGCCCACGGGACCCCTCCTCACTGCCCTGCCTGGGCCACTCAGGTGGTTTCACCGAGACCTCAGTGGGCTGGATGCAGAGACCCTGCTCAAGGGCCGAGGCGTCCATGGCAGCTTCCTGGCTCGGCCCAGTCGCAAGAACCAGGGTGACTTCTCGCTCTCTGTCAGGTAGGTGGCCCTCCCCAGCGTTTGGCTGCTCTCTTGTGCTGTCCGGGCCCTGAACCACACATTCGGGTTCCCTGCAGCCCCCATGCCCGGTCTGTGCCCTCGCGCCCCGCCCCCCGCGCTCCCCGTCCCTGTCTGTGCCCACCCATGCCCATGTGTGCCCTCACCCAGGACCTCCGCCGATCCCTGCCCTCCTGCCTCTACTCCTGCACCTACTGGCCTCACCGCCTGGTGCCCCGCAGGGTGGGGGATCAGGTGACCCATATTCGGATCCAGAACTCAGGGGATTTCTACGACCTGTATGGAGGGGAGAAGTTTGCCACGCTGACGGAGCTGGTGGAGTACTACACTCAGCAGCAGGGCGTCCTGCAGGATCGCGACGGCACCATCATCCACCTCAAGTACCCGCTGAACTGCTCCGACCCCACTAGTGAGAGGTGAGCGCTCTGCACCCTGCCTCTCCCAAGCCAGGGCAAGCCGGCTCCCACCCCCAGTGGCCCGGGAGGCAGGGAGCCTGGCACCCAGCACCGCCTGTCCTCCCTCCTCTTCCCTCCCCGCACCGGCTGGGGCTCTCAGCGTCCTTCCCCTGCAGCCTGGCATCTCAGAACTGAACCTACCACCCTTTCCACCTAACCCTGAGGAAGCCAGAGAAGGCTGCCTTGCCCTACTCCAGGGGCCCTGGCCACTGCAACCCAGGTCCCACTGGAGACAGGGAGGCTACCACTGGCAGCTGGCATGCCGTGCGGGCCACCTCTGTTGTTAGAAAGTTCTTCCTCCTGTGGAAGCGAGAGTGCTCTCCTTCCTCTTCCCCTCTCCCGTGGCCAGCATGCGTTAGGGGCTGACACTAGGGATGAGGATGGGGACGAACGCTTGCCAGACACTTGACGCCTTATCTCAGCCACCCAGCAGCCGTGGAGCGTTCACATGTGGAAAGGGGCTTGCACTGTCCTGAGCACAAACACCCCAGGCATTTCCTTCCTGTCCCCTCTGCTCAAAGGTGTGGTCCCCAGAGCTGGGAAGGCCACTGCCCCTGTGGGCTCCCAAAGGCATGGGCAGGGGCCGGGGGCTCTGAAATCTCCTCAGGACACCCTGGCTCCTTTCAACGCCAGATCCTCTTAGAGTAAAGGGTGGTGGAATACACAAGGGGGTTTTCACATGGACCCCTGGGGCCGAGCCCACCTGCCCTTGCCCGGCGCTCGCGGATGGGCTGTTGAAGTGATGGGGACCTTGCTTCCGCCAGCTTGCAGCCTTTCTGGGATTCGGGCCTCCAAACTGCCGTCAGTATTTTTGGTGAAGTCACTGACTGAAACTTAGAGCTGAATGAGGTTGCGGAACTGCCCTGTGGCCCGCCTGGGAAACCTCCTTTCCCTGGTCAGCTTCCCGCCCGGCCTTCCTCCTCTCCATGAGCCTCACGTGGCTGGCTCCGTGTCTGCCCCTTGCCCTTCCCCTTCCCCACCGCAACACTCAGGGGGCCTCTGAAGCTCCTGTCCTTTCTCCTTGCCTCGAGCCAGGAGGAAGAGGATGGGCTGACCAGTGCCTAGAGAGGGAGAGAGGAGCAGGGCCCCAACAGGCCCCTGCAGAGGAGGCTGAGACCCGGGTTCAAAGAGAAGAGAGAAGAGAGACAGGGAGCGGAGGGCGGTGCTGGGGCGGGAGGTGAAGAGGTTAAGACCGGGGAAGCCACCCTGGAGGCCCTTTTGGGTAACCCATCCCAGGAGCCAGTGTCTCCCCTGAGCCTGGGAGTGTGAGAGGCTCTGTCTCGCCGGTTCTGTCTTGTCTGTGGCGCCTCCTTCTCTGCGGGAATTTGCATCTGTCCCTCGGTGGCTCTGTGCTTCCTGTGGTCAGCCTGACATTTGCATGGAGACTTCCTCATCCTGGGGCCTAAGGGAAGGGGCTCAGCCCCCTCCCCGCTGCCTGGGGTCCTAGCCTGTCCCCAAGTGGTGGGCTGAAGCAGCCCGGTAAGGTCTGGAGGTTCTGGGGGCGGGGTGTCTGTTGGCTGGAGTCACCTCTGGGCAGGGGTGAGATGGGTCGGGACAGGCTGGTCCTCCCCTCCTTCCCCCCAACCCTGCGGTTGGAAAATTTGCCCCTCCTCCCCTGGCCCCTGGGCTGAGGAAACCTCACAACCTCACTTCTCACTCTCTCCCCAGAAGGAGTTTTGTGTTTTTTCCATCACGTGGTTTCCTGTGGGGCTGGGCATTGTGGGGCTACAGTTTCCTCCTGAGAAAGGGGTGTGCTTTGGGGAAAGGGCCTAGTTCTGCTTTCTGCCCCGACAGCCCCTTTGAATCCCTTTGAACCCCTTTGAACCCTGGGCTCCCCTTCAGTGACATCATCCAGGGCACCCCCAGAGCCCCCACACCACTTTTTCCCCAGTGGGGTTGTCTTCCCCGCCTCCCTGGGGAAGCGCACCCTGTCTGCCTTCCCTGTGACTTGTGTCTCTGTCCGTCTCCCGCCTGTGATGTGGCCTCGATCTGCAGTTTCTTTGTCTCAGGTCTCTGCCTGGCACAGCCCTATGCATCATGGAGACTCTTCCTTAGTTTCTCTCCTTTAAATATTTTGAATATCGACAGCCTTTCTGCCTTTCAGAGGTGGGCTCTGGGTTCAAAGCCTGGTTAGAACTCTGGAGGCCAGGACCGCTTAAGCCTGGGAGGTCAAGGCTGCAGGGAGCTGTGACCGCACCACTGCCTCTGGCCCGGGCAGCAGAGCTCTGGAGTCAGTCAAGGGCCCTAGGCCACTGTGCAACAGCTCAGCACGAGTGTCCTCCTCTGAGACGGGGGTAATATCATACCTCCCTCTCAGCTTGTTTGGGAGAGAGTAATGGACCTAAGTGTGGTGGTGGATTTGGAAGCATCTAGGACAGTGCCTGGCGCCCAGTAGGCGCTGGATTTCCTGCCTCCGCCCCGTGAATGTCTCTGCTCAGCACCTTCCCCTGTGGCCCGGGTCTCACCAGCCCTGACGCTGCCTCCTCTAGGTGGTACCATGGTCACATGTCTGGAGGGCAGGCAGAGACACTGCTTCAGGCCAAGGGCGAGCCTTGGACGTTTCTTGTGCGTGAGAGCCTCAGCCAGCCTGGAGACTTTGTGCTGTCCGTGCTCAGTGACCAGCCCAAGGCTGGCCCAGGCTCCCCGCTCAGGGTCACCCACATCAAGGTCATGTGTGAGGTAAGGCTGCCAGGCGGTGGGGGAGCCTGTTGAGGCTGCCGTCTGTGCCCACAGTGTGGGCGGTGGGGAGGATCTGCCTGGGGCCCAGGGAGGGAGACTCGGGCCCTGTGAGTGGCCTTATTTGGCACCCCCTCCCCAGGGTGGACGCTACACGGTGGGTGGTTCAGAGACCTTTGATAGCCTCACGGACCTGGTGGAGCATTTCAAGAAGACGGGGATTGAGGAGGCCTCAGGCGCCTTTGTCTACCTGCGGCAGGTGAGGGGTGGGCCCAGCTGCCTTCTCCCTGCCCCTGAGCCGCCCCCTAGACGTGAGCTTCTGGGATCTCTTGAGTTGCTGACTTCTCCCCGTCCCCCACTGCAGCCGTACTACGCCACGAGGGTGAATGCGGCCGACATTGAGAACCGAGTCTTGGAACTGAACAAGAAGCAGGAGTCCGAGGACACAGCCAAGGCTGGCTTCTGGGAGGAGTTTGAGGTGCTCGGTGGGGACCCGCAGGACTGGGGCAGTTGAGGCCGGGGCAGGCGGCATGGGGCCCCCAGCGGATACTTCCCCCTCCTCGCTTACCTCTGCTCCTGACCCACCCCGCGTGAGCTCCCCTGATGGATGCCGTCTCCAGGAGCTGATGCTCATTTCCCCGCCCACGTTTCAGAGTCTGCAGAAGCAGGAGGTGAAGAACTTGCACCAGCGCCTGGAAGGACAGCGGCCAGAGAACAAGGGCAAGAACCGCTACAAGAACATTCTCCCTTGTGAGCACCCAGGCCGCCCTCACCCAGGAGACCGCCCCTACCCCAGCCACCTCCCTTCATCTTACAGGTCTCCACCCTCCACTCCGGGGGGGCCCCTCTCCCCACACCCGCCAACAGAGCCTCCCCCTTCTGCAAAAGGCCTCTTCTCCTCCCAGAGGGGCCTCTCACCAGCAGCAGGCAGGTTCCCCTGCTCCCAACCTCCTTCTCGCGAACCCCCTCCGTCCCTCCATGCAGAGGACCCCCGAACCCTGCTGCCCGCAGCCCCCCCCAAGCCTCTCCCACAAGCTTCTGAGACCAGAATGGCCTGTTAGCTCAGGAGGGTGGTCTGACCCAGGCGTGGGGAGTCCCTGGCTGATCCAGGCCGTCTCGCCTCCTCTCCACCCACTCCCAGTTGACCACAGCCGAGTGATCCTGCAGGGACGTGACAGTAGCATCCCTGGGTCTGACTACATCAATGCAAACTACATCAAGGTCAGTGGCGTGGGTCCTGTGGGAGGAGAGGCTGGGCCCTGGGAATTCCCTGTCTGGTGAGGACCCCAGATCCAGAGACACCTGGGCAGCGCCGGAGCTGGCTTCCTGCATGGATGGAGGTGGCAGGGATTCAGGGCCCGTGCCGGGCCGAGGAGCTCACTGTCTTGGGGTGCATCTCTCCACGCTTGCACACAGAACCAGCTGCTAGGCCCTGATGAGAACACTAAGACCTATATCGCCAGCCAGGGCTGTCTGGAGGCCACGGTCAACGACTTCTGGCAGATGGCGTGGCAGGAGAACACCCGTGTCATCGTCATGACCACCCGAGAGGTGGAGAAAGGCCGGGTAGGGCACCCCACCCCGCCCCCACATCCCTCCCCAGTGCGTGTGGTCACACCATTAAGTCAAAGAACCATCAGATGCCAGGGCGAAAAGGGATCTCAGGGGTGAGGGGCCGGCCCTTGTTGGGAAACTGAGGCAAAGTCTTGACTGCACAATGTGACCCCTGTATCCCTGCATCCATCCCTGGGTTCTCCTGAGCTCCAGACCCAGGTTTTAGGCTGCCCTCCTTCCTTCTGCCCCTTCCCCACCTGTCTGCATCCAGGCCCCTCCTGTCCTCCCTGCCCCTTACCCTGCGGAACCCCCTGCACAGCACCCTCTGTGCTGCTGTTGAAGTGATCGCATTGGTGACACAAACTGAGTCAAGTTCCTTCCTCTCTGAAATCCCTTCCATGGCTCCTGGTCACCTTTGGGATAAAGTCGCACTGTGAGGCCTGGCATTGAAGGCCTGGTGGCTTCCCTCTGTCCCCTACGATTCCCTTTAAGGTTCACCGCCCCCAGCAGCCCCGGCTCTTTCGGGTTCCCAGCCTCTCTCTGCACAAGCTCCTTTTCTGCTAGGATATGGCTTTCTCCCCACACTATCTCTGCCTGGCAGATCCCTTGTTTTGAAGACACAGCCCAAGTGCTACCTGCCCCCTCTGTGAATCCACGTCCCGTTTCCTCCATGGCCGAGAGGGATAATTCGGCTTTCTCAGCCACGCTCTCAGTGCGTGTCTCCCCGCGCTCACCTGTCTCTGTGAGCTACTCCAGGCACAGGGCACAGATGGGGCCTTATTTGTGTCTGTGACTGCAGCCTGGTTTGCACAGCTTCAGGAACCACGCCTGCCCTGGTGACGTTTGTTGAATGTCAAATGGACGTCCCAGTAAAGTGCTGGCCAGGCCTCGTCACCTGTTGGTGGCTGCTCCGAGAGGGGATCCCAGGTCTCTTGCCTCTCGGCCAGCTCGTCTGTCCGTCTGACGAACGTGTGGGCCGGTGCCCTGGGATGGGCCACAGTGCCCTGCTCTGTGCCTCATCCCCACCCGACGCTGTCTTTCTAGAGCAAATGTGTCCCCTACTGGCCCGAGGTGGGCACTCAGCGCGTTTATGGGCCCTACTCTGTGACCAACTGCAGGGAGCACGACACGCCCGAATATAAACTCCGCAGCTTACAGGTCTCCCCACTGGACAATGTGAGCAGCCCCCACTCCCTGCCCTGCTCTGGGAGTCCCTCGCTGGACTTGTTCTCCTGTCTGGTTGGGTGGTTGGGTGGGGTGAGGCAGGTAGGGTGTTCCGAGGGAGCAGGGGGCATTGACCCTATGTCCTTGGCTCAGGGGGACCTGGTTCGGGAGATCTGGCACTACCAGTACCTGAGCTGGCCCGACCATGGGGTCCCCAGTGAGCCCGGGGGCGTCCTCAGCTTCCTGGACCAGATCAACCAGCGGCAGGAGACCCTGCCCCACGCGGGCCCCATCATCGTGCACTGCAGGTGAGAATGAGGATCCTGCTGGCAGCAGTGACCGCCAAGGAGCAAACGCGGCTGAGTGCCATGAGCTGTTAGAGGCAACATACACATCAGCACACACGTCTGTTGCCTTCCGCTCACCCCCGGCTTCTTCTGGGTACCCTCATGGCTCCAGACCCCAGGCTGGAACGTGGCTGGACCCAGTCCCATTTTGGCCCTGTGCCTGCGGGTGTCTTCCTCAGAGCCTTCCCCAGATGTGCCATCTCGCCCAACCCAAATACAGAGGAGGAACCCGGGCCCCAGCTGCTGGCCAGGCCCCAGCTAGTCAGGGTGAGGTGGGGCTAGGCCTGGGTCCCAGCTGCCCTGCTATCTCTCGAGGTCCCACTCTGCTGGTTTCTTCTCTCCTCCCAGGAATATCCACTGGGCCTGCGCTCCCCATTCCTCCTCTTTTTCCATCTGTAGCCCCAGGGTTTAGGCTTCTTCCTGATTCTGCCCTCTCTCCCTCTTTCCCTGGTAGTTCCCCATCCTGGCTGTTTGGGGATGGGCGATGCCTTTCTGGGGGGTACACATAGCTCCTCTATCTACCTTCGTGTTTGTGATCAGGAGACCCCTATAAGGTGCAGAGGTGGGGCTGCGAGGAGCAGGGGTCCCACCGATGAGCCCACCATGCCGGCCTGGCCTCAGTCAAACAGAGGCGGCGGGTGCAGGGCCCCTCCGCTCACCAGCTGTGTGATCTTGGACAAATTGCTTAACTTTTCTGACCCTCAGCTTCCTCATCTGTAAAACCAGGATCCTGTAAAACCAGGATCTCAGGGTTGTCGTGAGACCCTATCGCTGTGGCTGGAATTCCATCAGCCCTCAAACACCGGCACTGCTACTGGTTTAGTACTCATGCCAGAGAATGGGGGAAACACTCCCTCCATGGAACCCAGGCCTTTGGGGGCCTCTGGCTTCCTCCTCTTCCCCCCAGCAGCTGTTGGTTCATGGGACAGGGCCAGTTGGCTGAATCTAGAGCTGCCCCTGATGGGCTGTCTCGGGGCCGCAGCTCTGTCCTCTGCTCTCTCAGGGACAGGTCTATCCCCGAGAGCTACCCTTCTGCTCACCCACCGAACGTACATTCACACACTTCTTGAAAGCCCCATGGCCTTTATTTAGACGTTACAGGAAGGAAGTGGGTGAAGAGGGGTTATTTTTGACAATCCGGGTTTGAAATTAGACAGCGCGACTCAGGGCACCAGCCTGATGGGCCCAGCTGAGGGTGGGCCTGGGGTCTCCCTAGGGTCTGCTTGCCCAGGGGTGGGAAGGAGAGAAACTTCCTACTGCACTGCTCCTCTGAGTCCCTGATCCGGCGCCCCTGCACCCTGTCTCTGGGCTGCCCTTTCCCAGCTGTCAGGGTTTGAAGAAAAAGGGAAGTAAACCCCTGCAGAGAGAAGCTCCATAACTTTTTTTTTTTTTTTTTGAGACAGAGTCTCTTGTTGCCCAGGCTAGAGTGCAGTGGCATGATCTCGGCTCACTGCAACCTCCGCCTCCCAGGTTTAAGTGATTCTCCTGCCTCAGCCTCCTGAGTAGCTGGGATTACAGGTGCACGCCACCACCCCCAGCTAATTTTTGTATTTTCAGTAGAGACGAGGTTTCACCATGTTGGTCAGGCTGGTCTCGAACTCCTGACCTCTTATCTATCTGCCTCGGCCTCCCAAAGTGCTGGGATTACAGGTGTGAGCTACCACACCCAGCTGGAGCTCCCTAACTCTTGAAGGAAGAGGCGGGGAGGGATCAGGGTGCCTGGGAGCCAGCAGGACAGTGGTAGGATTTGGGGGTCCCATGTCTTTCGGGGTGGAGGCAGCCGCTCACCAGGAGTGAGGATTCGGTGCAGGGAGTGGAGGAGGGAAGGATGGTGGCAGCTGGGAAGCTGGCATCAGCACTGCAGAGCCAGAAGCGGAGCGCACCCACAGAGTCGGGCAAATCTTCACTGTCACTTGCCCAGTGATGCTGGGCACATTCCCTTCTGTTACTGGAGGCTCAGGCTGCTCCTGCAGTGCCCGGGGGTGGAGCTGAACACTGGTCACCCCCCTTCCCAGGAAGGGTTTGACTGGCCTCTGATGGCACCCCGTCTCTCCTCAGCGCGGGCATTGGCCGCACAGGTACCATCATAGTCATCGACATGCTCATGGAGAACATCTCCACCAAGGGTGAGGGGCACCTGGGGGCTTGGGGGCGGGGGTGAGCAGCCCCTTGGTGTCTACCTGTGCCTGGGCCTGAGGTTTGACTGCCCCCACCCAGGCCTGGACTGTGACATTGACATCCAGAAGACCATCCAGATGGTGCGGGCCCAGCGCTCGGGCATGGTGCAGACGGAGGCGCAGTACAAGTTCATCTACGTGGCCATCGCCCAGTTCATTGAAACCACCAAGAAGAAGCTGGAGGTCCTGCAGGTGCGTGCAGAGCAGGGCCTAGGGGGCTGCAGCGGGGGACGGGTACCACCTGGCCCTGCTGGGACCGCCGCCCTCCTACTATCCCTCTGCCCACAGTCGCAGAAGGGCCAGGAGTCAGAGTACGGGAACATCACCTACCCCCCAGCCATGAAGAACGCCCATGCCAAGGCCTCCCGCACGTCATCCAAGTGAGTGGCCCTGGCTGCCACCTCCTGGCATCCACCCCTTTGTCCCGCCCAGCCCGATCGTCGATTTCTGGAGAGGACAAGTGTTGCAGCTGGAGGGACCTGGCTTCCAAGTTCAAGCTTGGTTCTCACCCCTTCTGTGCACACGCGGGCCTCTGCGAGGCGGCCGCAGCGCACTCGCGTATGAGAGGTGGCCTCTGACCTCAAAGAACTTGGAGTCTAGCGCAGGGACAGTGGCTGGGCCGCCTGTGAGATGGGGCAGCCGGAGGGGGCTGCCACTGCCGGGTCCCCCGTGCTGTCTCCTGACCTGTGCCCCCCGCACCCTGCTGCAGACACAAGGAAGACGTGTATGAGAACCTGCAGGGGAAGAACAAGCGCGAGGAGAAGGTGAAGAAGCAGCGGTCAGCAGACAAGGAGAAGAGCAAGGGCTCCCTCAAGAGGAAGTGAGCGGCGCCGAGCTCAGGTGGCCGCGGTGCGGGGCTGTCCTCCCTGCCCTGCCCGGTGTCCTCGGCCCCGCTGCCTTCCCTGGGTGGATGGGGTGGCTGCAGCCTCACTCTGCCCTTCCCAGCTGCCCCAGACCTTGTCCCCCTCCGGGTTCCAGCCACCCTCTCACTCCCTAACTCCTTCTCTTGGCAGCCTCAGCTCAGACCCTGCGGAAGCCTCCCACCGCGGACAGACCCACAACCTGAACCTAGGAGCGCCCCATTCTGTTGTAATTTAAATGGCTGCATCCCTCACCCCTCTCCCTGATCCTGTATATAGCCCAGCCAGGCCCCAGTCAGGGCCAGCCCTTCTCCTTTTGTAAATAAAGGCCTGGGATTACTGTGTGTCGCCTCTAACCCAGCGCTTTGCTTGCCCCGGGAGTGGGCTCCGCCTCCCGTCAGACGGCCGTGGGTCCGGACTCCGCCTCACACGTGGGAGGGTGGCTGTGGGCAAAGCTTCCCAGTCTCCTTTAAAATGGAGGGCGATCATAACAGGGTGGCTGTGAAAAGCACAAGATGACGGCTGGTGATAAGACGGGCACAGTGACTCATCACACACTTGCCATGTGCCCAGGCATGGAGAGGCTACACGTTAGATCAGTCTAGGCACTTTGGTCATTCTCATTTTACAGTGCAGGAAACTGAGGCACAGAGAGACTAAGTAACTTGGTCACTTGCCCGAGGTCACAGGACTATGCAGCAGTGAAGCTGGGATTTGAACCCAGGCCTTCTGAGCCCAGAGCCTATACTCCTTACTCGGGAGTTGCAGCTGCCGCCCTCAGGGGTCCCCCATCACACTCCCCTGATGCTGACTTCCAGATCCCAGCTAAGAAGAGTAGTTAACAGCCAGAAGCACAGACCTGAGGCCAGCCACATTGTGTCCCCTCGGGCGGGAACGGGGACTGCAGACTGGCTCTCAGTGCACCCGGGAGCAGGCTGCGGCTGCCCATGTCCTCCGGGGCAGAGTTTGAAGAGCTGGCAGACTTGAAGGTTGCTTTGTTTTCTGGTCCCCTGTTCCTCCCCCCGTGCTGTGTCGGGAGTGGGGTTTCTCCTTCGTTTGAAACACTCGTCTCCTGGGGAGTGGAGCCGGTGCGAGCCATCCCTCAGGAAGGGCCGGCACGCACTCCTGGAAAGGCTGAGGCCGTACAGGTCTGGAAGCCCAGAGGCTGGGCAAGCATTATTCAGCAAATCCTTCTTAGAGAGCCCCTGGCACCACTGCCATTCACAGCCCCCTGGCCTCCTGGAACTTAGGGGGCTGGTCAGGGAGACAGATTCACAACACCGATCACCTGCATCAAATAATGGCAGGCCGGTATTAAGAAGGAAGCCAACAAAGACCAGGAGAGAGAGTAGCTAGGGACTGAGCAACACAATAGCTCCCTGGGGCTGTGGCCCTGGGGCGTGGGTGGGGCAACCTGTCGGGCTCAGGGCCCCTCTCCCAGCAACGCCCTTTCCATCCCAGCCGCACAAAGGCAAGTCCCACCTCCTCTAACCGCCCTTGGGCTACCTGCCCTTGGGGTGGGACTTGGACTCCGGTGAGGCTGTGCTGTGAGATGGGTCCGGGAGCAGTTTGGTCGGGAGAGCAGTAAGGGGTTAAGGCGGTAGGGGGGCAGCCTATGGAGATCGTTCCCTCTGCAGGCCCCCACTGAGGGGCAGGGCTGAGGCTCCAGGCCGGCTGGGGTCTCTGGAGAGCGGTGGGTACCTCCACACTAGGGGCACCCTGCTGGGACCCACCTGCCCTTCACAGGCCTGGCGGGGCCTCCTCCTGCCCCTGTCGCTCAGGGGACCCTAGCACAGGCCGGGCGCTGCGGCAACAGTCCCACTGCTGACCTCAGGGCTCTCTCTGGCCTTCCAGCTCCACTGTGGGCAGGGTCTGAGGTCACAGAGGAGGGGGCTAGGCCTGAAGGCAGCAGATGCTGTGGGGAGGGGACCCGAGGACAGCCCCTCCTTTTGTTCCTCTGGAGACAGGGGTGAGAATAGGCAGGTAGGAAAAAAGAGGCCCTGGGAGAGGGTGGGAGGCCTATCGGGGTGGCGAGGCCTTAGAGGAGGTGCCTGTGACTGACACTGGGAGGGAAGGGGTTAAGGCGGTGGGGGGGCAGCCTATGGCAGGAGGACACACCTGTGCGCAGGGCGGCGGGCGGGGCCCAGGTAAGGAGCCTGCGCTGCCGGGCGGGCGGAGAAGGAAGGAGGAAGAGAGGACGCCGGGCGGGCTCTAGGCCGTTGAATCTGGAGCCTCAAAGCCCCTTCGTCTCCCTGGCACCCACTCTCTGGGGGCAGGCGGGCCTGGTGACAGGTAAAGGCCACCAGGGGAGGGGTCCTGGGCTGAGCTAGGGACTGCAGAGGGTGGATGAGGGTGGGTGAGTCGGTGCGTGCTGCGGGCAGGGGCAGACTTCGGGGGTGGAGGAAGGTGGCTTGGGGTGGGGGGCGCCGACAGTGGAGGGGCTGCAGAAGGCTTGGGCCGCAGCCTGGGCCTATCGACCAGCGACCCAGGGTGGGGCTGGTGGCGGGCAGCAGGCTCACCCGGAAGTGTCCCCAGGGACTCGGGTGGTGGGGGGGATGGGAGCAGGGATCTGCAGCTTCTCCGCAGGGGACCTGGGCCTGAAGCTTCCTGACCCAAGGTGGGCAGGCTGGGTGGGGGCCCTCGTCTTACCCAGCAGTGTTTGGGTGCGGTTGGGAGTCTCTAATACTGCCGGGTAATGATGGAGGCCCCTGTCCCTGTGTCAGCGACATCCACCGAGTCAGGTCCCCAAGCCTTAGCTGGCTGCAGCCCCCTCCCCACTTCCCACGCCCCTCAGCAGCCCCTAGTCTGCGGCGGCGAGCGCGGCACCAGGGGTGGCTCTCGTTGGCTGGCTGCCACTCAGGGACACAATGGGCCCCGGCCCCTCCTCCCACCCAGTGCGATTTGTCACCTAGTGGATCCAGAACCCACAGTCGACCTTGAGCTTGGGATTGGCTCGCCCCCTCTCAGGAGGCCTCACCTGGCCTGTGGCCAGGGTCCCTGCAGCAGCTGGAGCATTCTCGCCGTAGCTCTCCATTGGCCGGCCCTGGGTCCATCTTCCAGTACAGTGTTGGATGGTCTAATTGTGAAGCTCCTAACACTGTCTGGTAAAGATGGCCCCCGGGTCGGTTCTTTCGGCAGTCTTTCAGGGAGCCCTGAAGACCATGGAGGCCTACTGACCAACGACCTCTGACCTTTACCCCTCCGGATGGGGGATGGGTCACTAGGCAAAGGGGAACAATGGGAAGGAGACAAAATGGCTGCCTCTACAGCTGCAGCAAGATTTGGAAACACTGGTTCCCCAGGCACCTCCACTGACTTCCCGCCTTGGGAATGTGAAATAAATAAAGTGTGACTAGGAACATGAGGAAGATTGATCCAGGTCACTTGAGCCGTCTTTTGTCCTATTGTTGATCTTAGCCGCACAGTAACTCAGGACTGGGGCTGCGGCATCGGCTTCGTCTTTCGTGATACTCAACCCTAAGCAGAGAAAAACATCCTAAAAATCGAAGCAGATTAACTCAGTCCCTCTGTTCAGATCCACCTGCGGCCCTATCTGCATTTGGTAGTTCCTGTACATACTTTGCCTCTGGGTTTCGTCTTAGAGTTCTAAACTTTCCTTGTCTCCCCGGAGGAATGGGAAATGGGCAATAGTGGGAGACTCAGGTATAAACGGTGACTTTGTTTCTTTGGTGCTTGAGACTCAGGAAGGGCTGTCTTGGTAAGAAGTGTCAGCTTATCTATGGGCTCAACAGGCACCTGTTCTGTTGGCCCCAGAGTGACAACCCCACCTCCACAGAGAGCCCTACTAGCAAGTAGCTCCTCACGCCTGGTGACAAATGGAGTCTGGTGGCCTACATCAGGCCGTGCGATCCACTGGGCTTCTAGGCACAGGCAGGCTCCCCAGAGCCACATGGAACCCTGCTACCAAGGAAGCAGATCCTGTTGGGGTCATCAGATTTTTAATCTGGCTCAGCAAAGCCACAGCTGCTCCCGCCCTAAAACGATGGGTGATGTGGGAGAATGGAGGGTGGGGTGAAGAGTGCAGCTGGGCCTCTAGCCCCCAGGGCCAGCCTTCCCGGCTTAGGTCGCTTTGGAGCCCAGGCCCTGCTTCCCCTTAGCTGCCCCAGCCAGAGTCTCTTGCGCCCTCTGCTGGCAGACACAGACAGCCCCAGTAGTGCCTATGTGACTGCGCATGCGTGCTGCTCATGACCATGTGAAGCCTTGACTTGAGCTTAAGTAATAAAAATTTATTGAGAATTCCTGGGTTGGTGGTATCTCCTCCCAGCCTCGAGGGAGGGAACAACACTGTAGGAAATCACAGAAATCACACGCTGTCCCCGGCCGACAGAGGGAGGAGGAAAGTAACTCCCCAGAAAAGGGGCTGGTCTTCAGTCTTCCTTAATCCAAGAGGGGTTTGGGGGATGGGTGCGGGGGACCATCGCATGATACTGGGGTGGGGTAGGGCTGTGCTGGACCCCAGGCTGGCTCCTCAAAAATAGGAGAAGCAGACCCACTTCCTCTGGGGATGGAGTTCTCGGTGCCTAGGCTCATTTCTTACCCTTGATGAGGCTGTCACTGTAGGAAAGACAGATGACATTATTAGGGACATAAATGTGAGAGGCAGGACGCTGGGCCATTCCCTCAACGACCCTCCTGCCCCATTGAGGGTTTGTCTGTGGGGAGGTGGGAAAGGCAGCGGGGTAGAAGGCAGATATTGGGAGAAGGTGGCCTGCAGGACCCCACAGGAACAAGGACACAGCAACAACTTACCTTCCTCTGTGGTGCCAGATCACCAGATGAACAGGAAACAGAGAAGAGAAATGCACATGTTAATTGACAGCTTCAGGCCCCACTCAGCTCTGAACCCTCCTTTGCTCCCAGGAGAAAAGACAAACAGGACTGGCAGCCAGGAATCTCAGGCTCATGAAAGGAGGCGGTGTGTTCTCATGGCCACTGCTATTTCTCGTCTCCTTCCCTAACATCCCTCCATGCATCTGAGCAGTTTTAGGGCTCTTGAGTAAGAAAACTGAGTACCACCTTTCATCACTTCTCGGGTAGATAAAAACTTTACGATTAAAGTGCTTCTTATGTGAATAATCCTATTCGATCTCATAAACTCAATCCTGTGCGATGCAGGATCAAAACCGCCAACCACTCCCTTTTCTCATTTTGGTTCAGTGTCTCGCAGAGCCTTATGAACAGCTGTGGCAGGCTCCAGAGCCCAAGAACGAGACTCAAGTCCCACGCTCTCCTTGTGACGCCCCACTGTGTGGCCGTATCTCTCACCGGGTGAAACTTTCATCCTGTAGGTTCAGCACAAGGTTGTCAGCAGTGAGATAGATGC